TTATAATTTATTATACAGCTCCTCACAGCAGCAGCACTCCATTGACTTGAATGCAATTCCTCCGATCATTTTTTCTTGATAACAGAACTCTCAAACCAATAATGACCGCAGCCCCAATGCAATCTCTGTTTGTAATTCAGGAGTGTAAAATACTGCCATTACTTCGCAAGTACAACAAGCTATCAGCGCCTGTCACTACATTGTGCAGTTTTTCTGCACACTTGTCTGTGTAGAGAAGCTAGCGGAGCTAGCCACGCTCAATAAACAAATACATATAAATCAATCAACACCATTAAACATTAATCGGACAATACAGTATACATATACATCCTTAACACACATGCACGGACGATTTCAGAATTTGCTGTCAACATTTTCATGACAAAAATACTGTTTTAAAGTGACAAAAAGCGATCGCGAAAAACCCGGAAGTTACCATGAAACAGCTAGCTAGCTTAGCTGTTACCTGCCTAGCACGTCCCGGTGAAACCTTTGGGAGCTAACTATTTTATTTGCAGTCATTAAATACATTTCTAATTATAAGGGTTGTCTAATATTTGTTCAAATATGTATATATTTTTTATTTTAGAATTATATTCCAATTTTGAAGTCGAAGCCCTGGTGTTAAGCAGCGCTGTAGAGACTAGAGGACACAGGCTGTAGAGGCTAGAGGACGCAGGCTGTTCGCTGCTCGTTCTGTGAGCGGAGGAGAAAGAGCGCCCGCTCAGACTCTACTCAGCACTTTTCACTGCCTGAATTTCATACACAGTGGAATCAATGACCTCAAGTTTTCAATTAAATTATGTATTATGATACAACTTGTATGTAGTAAAAAGCATTTTTATGAACTACCTAGAAAAAAAATTGGGTATAGCTTCTTTAACAAAACCATTGAAATCACCAACACAGATCAGAGAATCAACAGTTAAAACACAAAGAATATAGAACACATATTGAAAAATGTCCATACATGTTTACACCTCTCCTGATTCTTGCTCATTTCCATCCGTTGTACCACGTTTGGACTCACTCATTCACTCACCCTGAATTATCGTACATGTTTTTAAGTGGTAGGGTAAACCGGAGCACCTGGAGGAAATCTACGCAGGAACATGCAAACTCCACTCAGAAAGACCCTGTTCTGACCGGGATTCGAACCCAGCACCTTCTTGATGAGAAGCGAGAGTGCTATCCTCTCAGCCGCTGTGCATTTTTTATTCTAATTTTACTTTATGGCTTGTTTGCACCAGTGGGGGCGGGTCCCGGCTCCAAAAGGTCCATGAGCATGTGCGCTTACATGCTTCAATACCACCCCAGGTCGGTGGGGGTGTACCCGGAATAAGAATTACCCAATGCTTTTGTATTGCACGGTCTTTCCTCTTGAAAACCTCTTCACAGTATGATCCAAAAGTCTGCTCTTGGCCCAACACAACGTTCCAGATGCTGTCAATGCTGAGGGGAGTAATTTTTTTTGGGACCACTCTAGTTTAGCCACTGGTGACGATTGAATGCACTAGTCAAATTAATGGGGCAAGTGCTGGCTCCACATTTTCCTGCCCCCGTGGCCATTTTTAAAAAGCCCATAAGTGGTGGCACATTAGTTTGAATGGCGGAGAAAGGAGGGACTACGTCCGTTAATATTTACGGTCTATGGTCCGCACTGAGACCCAAAGCAATTTCCTAGTTTCTCACTATGACAATATAAAGAATTTTAATTATAGCTCTGGTAGCGGCCTGTCTCACACCTTCAGCAAAAGAGCTTCTAGGATCTTTTCTGCCTTTTTGAACAAATGTATCAAATGAGTTTTTCCCCCCATTCAAATGAAGCAGTCGTTAGCGTTTGTACATGTTGGAAGCCCACACCACTGTGATGCTAACCTTGCCTGAAGTTAGACAGCACACACACACATTCCTGAGCCGTGCTGACACGATGCCATTCAGCCAGAGTGCGCACAGTTCTCATAATCCTTGCCAACAGCGGAACGTTCTTGAACATCTGTGAATAAAGTATGCATTTAAGTTGTTCAAGTAGAGATTCATATTCCGATTGCAACATCCAGTGTCCTCGGGCTCAGAGTGAACCCATCAGCCTGTCAAGCTGAACAGGGGCTGGCTGCAGAATACAGATGAGGAGGTGGAGAGAGCCTCAGTCCAGCCTCAGTGCAGCTCCACTGAACAGATTAAGATGAAGAGACAGTTTATTCGTCCCTCAGTGGGGGAAATGTCGGTGTTGCATCACAAGTTACAGAACCGTAAGAATGAGGAGCACACAACACAAGTCAAAATCTCACTGCATGAAAAGTTAGATTTTCGTCACCCCAAACGGCAGGAAATCACCCTCTTTTTCGGGTATCTCAGGCAGTTTTCAAGACCCGCTGTTAGGGTGCCCTGAGCTCCAAACTGCCGCATCCGTACCATGCTAATGTCCCTACTTTGCATATGAATGCAGCGAAACCGTGCGGCCGCCGAGCGCTAATGGCCCTAATTAGCATATGAATGCAGCGGCTGGCCGGTTGCGTGAATACCCTTTTCACATTGGCATACCACTACTTTCAAACAAAACAAAAAACACTCGTGATTAGCTGAAAAATCACACGTGACCAGGCCAAGCCAAATGAAGCTAACTACTCATTGGATGAAGTCACTACTTTCAAATAAGTATAATCCCTCGTGATTGGCTGGCAGATCTGTCATTATTGGTCACCCTGCCTCATAATTTAATGTAATAATATTAATATTAATATATATTTATTCATATTATGCTGCATATATTTTATCTTTATATATGTATATATGTTCATCTTTATATTTATGTAGGCTTCTACACTATTATTAGGCCATCAACGACATTTATAGAGGAAATGAACATCTACCAGGAATATGAAAATGCAAAGAAAGTTTTATTAAAAAAGGTTTATTATACACACACACGGCTATCTGCCCACACATTAATTTAAAAAAAATAAATCACAAGTCCGTGAACAGCAAAGCCTCCTCTGGGTTGTTGTCTGTTGGCTGCCTTCTTTCCGAGGGAGGTCCGTAGCACAGACGTCTAATGTGCGTGGCTCTGAACTTCCGCGCCGCTTCTAACCGGGATTGCAGCTTCACACAGAGTTCAGAGAGCTCCGGCTTTCTAAAAGACGGCGACCTCACAATCCACCCAGACACACCGTCCACAACGCCTTCCTCTTCATCTGACATTAGCTCTACAGTGGCAGACTTCCAGAGATCCACCTCGTCAGCTTCGAGCACACCCCGTCTCAATTCCAGCAGCTGAAAAAAACAAACAAAAAAGAATCAGTAAATTTTAATAGCCACATCAAATCCGTGACAGCAGCTTTTTCCTATTTAAACATCGACTGAATCAAGAACAGTGTCTAAAGCAGACTTTGAGATTCTTATCCATGCATTTGCATCTGTATAACAGCTGCAGACCCTGCAGTACATTCAAAATGCACCACCTGAAGTCCTGACCAGAACCAGGAAGTACGATGGCAAGGCAAGTTTATTTGTACAGCACAATTTCATACACAAGGCAACTCAAAGTGCTGAACAAAATAAGAAAGCATTAAAACCCTAAATAATCACAGTACATTAAAAAGATAAAAATATAAACTCCCTTAGTTGTATGCACAGCTAAACCAAACAGTTTTAACCTGGTTTTAAACATTGTCAGAGAAGAGGCCTGTCTCACTTTAGCTGTGCTACAACTGAGGGATTTTATATTTATCTGTGTTAATGTACTGTGATTATTTATTTTAATGCTTTCTTTTGTTCAGCACTTTGAGTTTCCTTGTGTGTGAATTGTGCTACACAAATAAACCTCCCTTGCCTTACTGTGCAACGCACTGTTAAGTCTGCTGCCATTTCCGCTGACGGCCGCATGAAGTTGTGAAGGACACAGGTTGCCTTAACACACACACCAGTCGAGCCCTGGAGAGGCGGTAGTTAAAAGGTGTTGCTTTCAGGGGGAAGACCACCACGGCCGGGATAGGGACGCATCATGTGCCGCTGCAGTGGAGCGCCAGTCGTCTGTGGTGGGAACCGCCATGAACTCCTCCACCGGAAAGTCCCAGATGGCCGTAACTACCTCGGGGACAACTTTGGAGACAGTGGACACACCGACCCTGAAGCTGCTCCCGATGGTAGTTTACGAATCCCCAGTGGCAAGGAACCTGATAAAATAAAAAGACATTAATTGAATGTGCACATGGAGTGAGAGACAAATGTCCCATAACAATAAAAAGGTGCTTTGTGACTGGTCTGTGAAAGGCGCTATATACATGAAGAATAGACACAGACACACACACACACACACAGAGAGACAAGGAAACACAGACAGAAATAAACACACACAGACAGACTCGCTTCCACCCTCACCATGTGTGGAATGATTGGAACAATATCTGAACTCTGAACATTGTAAAGCGCTTTGGGTGACCTTGGTCTGTAGAATGCGCTATATAAATAGACATTACTTACTTATAAAGACACGCACAGAGACAAAGACACACACACAGAGACAAAGACACACACAAACAGACCGAACACACACACACAGAGACAAAGACACACACTCACATACACAATTACTGACCGTAGGCAGATGGAGAGGCGGAACGTCTGTAGTTGGTGTCTTGGTGAGAGATTCGTGCACCTACGCGGCCCAACAGGTCATCGAACTGGGCCACTGTGAGACGGAAGTGCCGCTGAAATCGCACCTCATCCAGCCGCAGCTCTTGTAACAAATGGTGGAACTCGCCATACTCTGACCGTCTCTGGAGGATATCGTGAACCCAGACACGCCGTCGTGCACGCCGCTAGAAAACAATCAAAAGAGTGGTATGAATAAAAATCAAACACAAGACGCAGTAACATGAAACAAGGAAGGAGAAACAAGTCACTTACACACAATAACGTCTTTATCAACATCATGGAAATGTGGATTTCCATGGAAACTTGCAGATATCGTGTCGAGCAAAAATGAGGTCACCGCCTCATTACGAGGAGAGATTAGTCTGAAAACAAAATGTACAGTTATGATTGGTATCTATACGTATCCATTTCCTTAATGTGATATTCTATAGCTTTTACCCTTGCTCTGGCTCGTAGCGCCTGGAATTCGTCTCCGAGTTGTGAAGACGACGTACCGATTCCTGTAAATGACAAAACATACACTTTAATAAAGCTTGTTCTTTTGCAAGGCTACTAGACTCTAGCCCTACTGGCAGACACCGCACCTTTCACGGGCCTATTAACTCCGATTATAGGCCTAGTAGGCTACTCTTATCTTTGGTTTTCGGCTAGGCTACTTAGCTTAGCTAGCAGTCATTGAACATATTCTTACCGCAAGCTTGAGATTTGTTGTTCTTTATAGCTTTATACCATCTATAGCTTAGTTAAGAGACCGGCTCGAACTTGCGCTCCACCCGCTCGGGCCAGGCTACTCTTATCTTTGGTTTTAGGCTATGCTACTTAGCTTAGCAAGCGTTCATCAACATAATTCTTACCGCAAACTTGGGATTGCGGACCCGTCTTCTCTTGTCGGAGTTCGTCTCTCCCGCGCTGTTTAACTCCAGAGCCACAAACTTCTCCTCCAGGGACAGCAACCTGGAGTCTACAGAATCCAGCGCTCCTTTATATCGGCAGTATTTAGATTAATCTGACGAGACAGTCCGCTGATAGCAATCAGCAGTCTTCTATCGTCAGTCTGCGGACTGGCTGTAATCTGTGGATCGCGTCCAAGAGGAGTTGAAGGCGAGTGGAACGTGAGACGTAAGTACTGCTGTGTCGTGCCCATAACCTCCCACGTGATTGGACGAGGAGTCGAAGGCTCGTCAGGCCCCTCCAATCAGATGGGAGGTCATTGTTACAGGGAAAGACTAGCGAAACTGGGTTGCAACCACGTGACCAAAAGGGGCGTGGCTTGAGGCTGTAGGACAGGAAGTATTTTTCTCCTATTAAATAGAATCTTCTTCTTTCTTCTTCCATATTAGGCATTTTCCTAAAAATCAACACCCGTTAGTTAATCAATTTTAGTGAAATAAAGACTCCATCAGTTCCCCACTTGATATGAGCAGTTGCCACAACTGCACACGCCACAGAAAAAGAGCATTTTGACTCGGAATGAGGACTTCCTCATGGCTTTACAGGATTTACAGCAGATCAGTGGAAGAACTGGACAACCATTTACTCACTGTTTTGTCTGAAGGGTCTTATCGACAACAGACACTATGACATGTGGTTTGACTTTGTGCAGGCTTGTATCATACTTTGCTCCAGAGTCATATCTGTCAATAGACTGGAAGAAGCAGATGGATACCTGCAGACTTTTCTCTCCAAATTTGTCAAACTGTTTGGCCCATTGCACTGCACGCCCAACATGCATTTACATCTCCATTTGAAAGAATGCATGTTGGATTACGGACCAGTTTATTCTTTTTGGTGTTTTTCATTTGAGCGTTTTAATGGAACACTGGGAAAGTTTCATCACAACAATAGGACAATTGAAGTCCAGATTATGAGGCAATTTCAGCAGAGCCAACAGCTTCATATGCCATGGACGTGTGAATATGGTACAGAATTTGCCAGTATTTTAGGAAGACAAATGGTTGGGACTTTGTCATGCAATGACACAGCTGATATGCTTTACGTGAAGCACACTGCTTTGGTGTCAGCGGAAAGACTTTTCTTAGAAAACTGTACAGTGGTGCCTCTGTCTCCATTCCACCAGACAATCTTGGATGTGTCCGACAGACATGCAATGTTGACAATGTATCACCAGATGTACCCTTGTGTCACTGATGTTGACTGCTTTGCCATGACATGTAAACGCGTAACATATATGAATGTAACTTACTCAATCGATGGATCTAGAGCAGAAAGGTCAGCATATGTATATGCTAAGTGGTGTGGGAACACTAACAGTTTTGAGGAACCCATCCTTGACCCTTTAGCAGAACTACGACCAGCCATTATAAAACAGTTTATGGTTGTTAATGTTGTCTCAAAGGGTACTGCATTTAAGCACTTCCTGGCTTCATCCCCATCCGGACAGACATTTTTATGGAAAGCCAATAGAAGTTTGGTGCTTGCAGGGAACAGACACGTCGCATCCAGCATCATTTCTGCCAGTTGAGCATATTGCTGGGAGATGTGTGGTTAATACAACCTCTGTGCATTTAAGTAAGACCAAAGAAAAGGTCACTGTAGTCATGCCACTATGCTCAGTAGTTGAGCTCTAAGAGACCTTAATCTCTGCAGACCTGTCATTCTGATTTTAATGTTTGCATGGAGTGCACATTTTACCTTGCTGATTTTGATTACATCTTTTTGAAGTCAATTATTTTGTATCTTGTTTTTTTACATGAAGCTTACTTTTATTAAATAAATCAATCCAAGCTAAAATGAGTCTCTTATTAGGCTACTCAGCCTGATCTATTTGTACTAGAGATTTTCTTACCTTGTCACCCTGATTAGCATTTGTATAGCTCACAGCATTTTCATTTGCATGTCAAAACCTCCCCTAGAATTAGGAGGAGGGGGGAACAACAGCCAAGCAAATTCCTGTGAAGAGCCGTTTACCTGAACTTCTGCAATCATTTACAGAGCCGCTTAGGGACGAAAATCACACTTTTCATGCAGTGTCTGTATCTTTCGTTTGATAGTAATACTAAAGGGAAACATATCAAGTATAAACTTGTATCTAGTGCAACGACGTCTGTACTGAGTGACAGATGCAAATTAGCCACAAAGCTACGATCTAGTGTTTTTACTTCTCCTGCTGTTCATGAATACGCACTGAATACAGATACAGTGGACACATGTGGTCCCATATTGCACATTCTGACATTTTTGCACATTATTTTTTATTGTAGTTGTTGCAATCAAATGAAAAGATGTAAGTTCTGTGACCATGCTTCTACTGTACTTGTGCTTCTTCTTTTGTTTTCTAAATATCTTCGCTGAGCATTATCTGCATGAATAGTGTTTTATATACTGCATGCTTATCTTTTAAACGGCATTAGTTTCTGTAATACCCTCTGAAACACGCTGCAGCAGCTGTCGGGATTTCATCATGTGAGCTTGTCCTACACAGATTAGTTACCGTTCAGAACATGAAAAGCCAGAATAAAGATGTATTTTCAGTTGTGACAAGAGGCCGACTCAATATGTAAAAAAGGTCTCACCGACAATAGACAGTATTATTAGCTACAAAATAGTACTTATTGTTACAGACACTGTCCTGTGCAGTGGTGTGTAAGGTCGTACATAGAAAATTCCCATTTCTATTTTGTTTCTAACGGACTGCTGTTCAAATCGGCTTCCTCCCGCATTCAGCAAAAGCAATGGTGACGTCTGCACTCTGTCAGTCCACTCTTTCCACTGTAATGTAAACACAGCAAATGTACGTTGGTGGAGGCGTGCATGCGTGTGTTTGTGTGTGTGCGTGTGCGTGTGTGTCATAGACCTGACAGATCCACACCGTTCTCCAAGCTGTCAGCTTCAAGGCCCTCTCACTCTGCTCTGGTAACCTCAGCTTCACTCTCATATCATCAGAAATCCTCTCAATGTTATGTCTTTGCTGCAGAAGCGGGGGGAATTCAGCAACGTTAAGCTAACTTAAACACATTTGCATACTTTTAACAACCCCCTCCTATGTAGCACGATCCATCTACACCCACACTTTCAAAACCACCCATGAGCATTATGGCTAAAACATGTTTTTATGTTCCTTCTCCCCACCGTGCCCGTATCGTCCCGTGAAAAGCATGAATATTCAATGAGAAGGCCATGAATAAATAAGTCCAGTGGAGTTGAGTGCTTGTAGTCTGCCCACAGTGGAACGGGCCCCGGTGAATGGGAAAGCATGGCAGGCTCTGGAGAGGAGGTAATTGGCTTCTTCTCTGGGCTGCAGTGGTGAGACAAAAGGTAATCAGGGGAGCAGCTGGCGCTAGTCGAGCAGAACAAACCCTCAGATTGTCACTATGTGTTGTTTTCACCGCGGAAACAAGTCTCGATCCTCAAGAATGCAGCTTTTTATGTGTTGAAATTCAAACTGATGAAGCGTGGGGAGATGGCTGATAACAGGGACAGAAAAAAGAATTGATATTGGCACAAGACTTGTCACTCCAATGTCTGGTACTGATAAAACATTTTGGCTGTTGCTCTCAACTGCTACTATTTTCTACTATCCACTACTATTTACCTCTAGAGTGAAGATGTGGGAAATTGTGGGAGATTTGAAATAGAAATTACAAGTTTTTTTTTTTATCGCACGTTTAAAGCTTAAAAAATAAAAACGATAAGGACACAATCACAAAAAACAAGGATCACCGCAATATTTAGGCCCTAAAGTGATGCACTATTATTATGTTTTAATTATATAAGCTAAGCTATCAGCTAACTTCAGTGCTTTTTCTAAACTTATTTACTGTAGTGTATATATTTAACAGATATACCGTAGCAAGCTCACTTCCATCTGTGTCTGTAGGCGAGGAGACAGCAGGTTAACAGCTGTGTGCAAAGAATTATAAATAAAAAGGCCCAATTAATATCTATAATACTAGTAAAGCATAACACTCGTCAACAGCTGCACGCGTCGGTTACTGATGTGAACTTGAATTTGCCCTTGTGGGATGAAGACTATATTTATTCATCTATAAACAACACAATTATTTACAATCTGCCTCACTACCGCCATGGATGTATTACATAATCTGGATAAAGTATTGCTACAGCTTAAGTCGGTATTCGCTACTGCAGCTTTAGCCGCCAATGGAGATTTTCCCTTCGACCACAACGTTCACAACAACTGCGAGTCCTCAGCTGACGTAGTCTGGTTTGTTCCATTCATAAACTCTGGTCCATTATCCCTTCCTACGTGTACCTCTGGGTCTGATCCTATTGGCTGCAGTTTCCTTGGTTGAATCCCATCTGACCAATCAGCGAGTGGGGGAGGCGGCTGTAGGTGTCGGTTCACGCTGAATTTGCTGGTTGTACTTTGGCAATGGCGAATAATGTGATTGTAAAGTTCCCTTCTGGTTCAGCTCCAAATATCAAGATATTTAAGCCGGAGCAAGAGGAATGTGTAGAAAATTTCATTGCTGCCAAAGATGTTGTGGCGCTACTACCCATGGGCTCTGTTAAGCCTGGCTCACACGAGACGATTTTAAAATTGTCGGCCGATTTTTCTCCGTGTTAGACCCCACAGGGGGAGATTAAAAATCCTGCGTCTAACCACTTTGGTCGTGCAGTGTGTGGTGCGTAGCCACACGGCAAGATCACGCAAGCCACAAACATCACACACGAACCGACACACCCCCCCCCCCGAGCATTCCCAGGTCAGACGGAAATCTCTCGAGATCAAGCGTGACTTCAGAGTAAACAGTCATGGCGGACGAAGAGGATGCAGTGGCGATAGTGTGCAGTTTGTTGTTAACAGAGAAGACACGTAATCCAAAGAAAAGGCAATGGTCAAAGCCATGCTGCTGTGTTTTGTTTTTTTTTCCGGTGTTTCCTCACCGGCTTGTCACCTCGTCTTCTTATTGGCTACACGCCGTAGTCATGGCAACGCGCTCGCTTGTCCTCGGAGGACACCACACACGACAAGAAATCGGGCCAAAACAATCCAACATGTTGGATATCCCCGATTTGAGATCGGGAGCAGTCCCGATGTCCTTCCGAGCGACGAGTGCAGTCTTAACACACCACACACGGCAGGAAAATCTGTAAGATTTTGTTACGGAAATCGGTGCGTTTCTTAAGATTGTCGTAAGGGGTAAATCGGGTCTAAATCGG